AGTGTAGGCTCTACCTTGGCTCTGTGTTTGCATTGGGGTGTCCAGTGGCAGGGACAGTGTGCTCAGGGAGCATCCTGGAGCGCCCTGGGATAGTGGGGCAAGGATGCCCAGAGAAGCTGTGGCTGCCCCATCCCTGGAAATGTTCAAGGTCAGGCTGGAAGGAGCACATGGAATCCCAGAATGGTTTGGGTTGGGAGTGACATTAAAACTCATCCCATTCCACCCCTTGCCATGGGCAGGGACACCTTCCACTAGCCCAGGTTGCTCCAACCTGGCCTGGGACACTTCCAGGGTTGGGGCAGCCACAGGTTCTCTGGGCATCCTTGCCCCACTATCCCAGGGTGCTCCAGGATGCTCCCTGAGCACACTGTCCCTGCCACTGGACACCCCAATGCAAACACAGAGCCAAGGTAGAGCCTACACTGGATTTGTTCCTGCCTTCCTCAAAATGCAAAGGGAGTGAGACAAAAGGCAGGAGATCCAGCACTGAGCTTCCTTCCCAAAAGCCATCCAGATGGAAGTATCCATGCCAGAAGTGTAATGGAGCTGGGGAAGGGGCTGGAGCAGCAGGAGCAGCTGAGGGAGCTGGGGGGGCTCAGCCTGGAGAAAAGGAGGCTCAGGGGGGACCTTCTGGCTCTGCAACCCCCTGACAGGAGGGGGGAGCCGGGGGAAGGTCGGGGTCTGCTCCCAGGGAACAAGGGACAGGAGGAGAGGGAACGGCCTCCAGCTGTGCCAGGGGAGGGTCAGGTTGGATATTGGGAAAATTTCTTCATGGAAAGGGCTGTCCAGCCCTGGCCCAGCTGCCCAGGGCAGTGGTGGAGTCCCCACCCCTGGAGGGATTCAGGAGCTGTGTGGATGTGGCACTGGGGGACGTGGGTGGCCCTGGCAGCGCCGGGTTGGACACAACGATCTAAGAGGGCTTTTCCAACCTAAACCATTCCACGAAAACTCTGGAGAACAAACACGTCAGAACCAGGCAGTCGTGCAGCACTTCCCAGGAGAAGCAGCAGTGGCTGGAATCCCCCCTGGCCCAGGGATGCTCACCTTGGTGTGGGCCAGCAGCAGGCAGTTGGAGTGCTCGTGCTCGCAGGCGATCTCGTAGTCGGGCAGGAGCTCGGCCAGGTCCTGCACAAACCCCACCACCTCCTCGTGCCAGGGCACGTTGGCCATGGTGAGGCTGCTGGCAGAGCTTTCTCCACAGTAGGTCACACCCTGAGGAGAGACATGGAAACCATCAGGAGTCAGGTTAACTCCTCCCGAGCTCCGGGCGGTGCTGGCACGTCTGGAATGTCTGGGTTGGTCCCCCCTTCGCAAGGTCACAAAGTTGGAGATGGCAGCAAAGCTCCATCTCTCCCTCAGTGACACACCCCTGTGCCCAGGTGTCCCTGGCAGCAAAACACAGGGTAGTGTTTATCCTGGAAAGCAGCCTGAGAAGGATTCCAAGGGGGGATGGTCCTGAGTGCCCGAGGGACCTTCCAGAAGGTCACTTGGGTTTGAAACACGACATCTCTGGAATAAAGTCTCATGGACATCCAGTGTGACAGGTCACTGTGCCACTCCTGGAGATCCTGTCCCCTGTNATCCAAAGCTCTCCAGGGTTAAGTGGGACACATTTCAATCCCTGAGCCTCCCTGAGTCCTCAAGCTCCTCTCCTGCACCCCCAGACACGTGTTCAGGCACAAGGAAGCAGGGAAAAACAAGGGATGTGTGTGTGGGAAGAGACTTGGAAGCTCAGTGGGAGATTTTGAAGACACTGAAGAACCCCCCAAATATTCCCCAGCTCCAACCCCAGGGTCACCTCTTCACTCCAGGGAGAAGAAAACAACACCAGCCCTACAAACTGCAGTTTCCTCTCCCTTAAATCCCTTTTTTCCCCCTAAATCCCTGGCCCTAGGAGACTCCAGAGCTTAAGTCCTAAACTATCATTCATCACACAAGCAGGTGCCAATCAATGACTCTCCATCAATCAAGGCAGGATGAATTATTTCTGACGTTCCCAGACTCTTTTCCTGCAGGCTGTCATTCCACATTGATGTTCAAAGGATGACGAGCATTGTTTGAACACCCCCAAAACTCCGAACACAGGGAAAGAATAATCCCATTTCTTAATGATTTTTATTACAGCCTTCCTGCAACTCCTTAATTTTTTAAAGAGCCCTTTGATTTTGCCCTTCCTGGCTCCGGCCTGATCATTCCCAGGGCACAGGTTTGCTGCAAATAATAAGACACTGACAAATTTTATTCTCCACTAGAGCCTGAAATGCAAAAATTAAAACCTAATCGAAATAAATCTATTTTTTATTAGTTATTTTAGTACTGGGGACAGATTGCTTCCCAAAGACACCCTCTGCTAATGGCTCTGGAAGGCAAAGCAGCTGCTGAATTCCTCCTGGGCAGGTACCAATTCATTCTTGTTACTAAGTGGTGTTACTTAAATTATGCATCAATAGGGTCGGTGCAATCTGTTTGTTTTTCCTTCCCCTGGACCTTAGAATGGAAAAGAATATTTGGATTTCTCAGGCACAGTTGCCGGTGGCAACAACCAGGAGCGAGGCTGTAAATAAAAAGCAAATTTTAGGGGGCTTGAAACAGAACTAGTGCCAGGTATCCTGGTTTTCTCTGCTCCCGTAAAAATAAGGACAGTTTGGGAACTGTGCAGAGGTTTTCAACAAGGAGATTCTGACAATTATCAAACGTGGTTTCAGAGTGAAAGGGAGTAGGGGTAGAGGGATACTGGGAAGGAATTGTTCCCTGTTCAGGTGGGAGGCCCTGGCACAGGTTGCCCAGAGAAGCTGTGGCTGCCCCATCCCTGGGAGTGTCCAAGGCCAGGTTGGAGCAACCTGGGTGTTGGAAGGTCCCTGCCCATGGCAGGGGGTGGAATGAGATGGTCTTTAAGGCCCCCTCCAACCCAAACCATTCCAGGATTCTACAATTCCATCAGCTGCCCGGCTCACACATGTTTTTATTGCCTTTCTATTAATCTTTTCTGAAGGTCAGAAAATAAAACAGCACTTGATGCTTTTTCATCTCCTGCATACTTTAAAAAGAATTATTATTCTTTTGGCATTTCACTCTTATTTCATTTCATTTCCCTTCCCTACTTGAGGGGGGCCTGTAAGAGAGAAGGGACAAATTTTTAGCAGGGCCTGTTGTGACAGGACAAGGGGTGGTGGCTTTAAGGAGGGTCAATTTACACTGGAAATAAGAAGAGTTTATAAATAAGAGGGTGGGAAGGCCCTGGCTCAGGGTGTCCAGAGAAGCTGTGGCTGCCCCATCCCTGGAAATGTTCAAGGTCAGGCTGGAAGGAGCACATGGAATCCCAGAATG